CCGCGGCGCGGAGCTCGGAGCCGAGGACAAGGGTTTCCCGCCTTTATTGCGCTTTCGGGGCCGCCGGCCTCAGGGCTGCTCGTAGCCCGTGGGCAGAGGGTTGACGCGGGGGTTGTGGAAGAGAGTGTGGTTGCCGTCCCCCCAGGAGTAGGGCTGTGGAGAGAGGGGGAGAGGACGGCGGGCGTCGGCGCGGCCTGCCTGGGCCGCCGCCGGCCCGCCGCCCCCCGCCCGCCGCCCGCCGCCCCCCGCCTGCCGCGTACCTTGGTGCGGATCCGCAGGTGGTGGTAGGGGATGAACTCGGGGCGCTCCTGGTGGCCCGAGTGGAGCCAGGAGTTGAGGGTGCAGAGGGCCACGCTTGGCAACGCCAGCGCGAAGGTCAGGAGGCGCCAGGTGCGCGCTGCTCGGAGGGGAGGCGGGTGAGGGCGCTGGCGGGGAGCGGGGGTCGGCCCGGCCCAGCCCAGCCCGGCCCGGCCCGGCCCCACTCACCTCCGGCCCCTCCGCGCTCTCCCGTGGCTGCGCTGGCCAAGCCCCTGCCCAGGAGCCTCCGAGCCAGAGCCATGGCTGCGCCGAGCTGGGAAGGGCCCGTCCTTCCCTCTCCTTCACCGCGGCCCGCGGTCTCCTCCCTCTCTTCCAGCCAATCGCCCGTCGAGCCCAGAACGTGGATAGCTATTTTTAGGGGTCTTCTATATTTAAAATGGGCCTGACTGGCAGGAGATCCTCTCCAGACAACTGCTGTACTGGCGTCTTATTTTGGCACGGTGTTAGGAAAAAGGAGAACAGAGCAGGGACAGGTTTACTGCAGAACAAACCCGAGGGACGGCTCGCGCTGGAGACCAGAGCCGCCGCTCTCCTACAGGCTCCGCGATCTTTTGCAGGGTCAGGGAGAGGGGTTCAGCCAGAGGGGCCGTGGCTCCCGGCCAAGAACAAGGCCTGGGCGAGCACGCGGTGACACTGCCAAGCCCCAGGCTTGGGGCGCAGGGAGCGGCGGGCGGTCCAGTCCGGAGCGGGGACTGGCACTTCGGAGTCCCCAGGTGCCGGCGCTGGGAGGGGGGAGAGAGGCGTCTCTGAACGGGGCGGTCGGAGTCCTTCACCGGGCACATTTAAAGTACAATATGCTATTCTTTATTATAGCTGCAGGGAACTGTTTTATTCAATATTCTATTTCCAGTGGCTGGCGGATGGTAGGTAGACCTTTAATAGATGTTTATAGAATGAATTAAATGTTTTAACTTTAAGTAACAGAAGTGTGCTGAAACCCTTGTTCAGTATTTGTTTCTTTGCAAAGAACAGAACCCACTTTCACTAGTTTTAAAAGAAAAGCAGTTGGGCATCTTCGGTAGCTCATGGTATCCCTGAGACAGCTAGCGAGGCTTAGCGTCTACACAAGCAGAAACAAAACGCTGTGTGGATCAGCTGCATGAGATGCCACCATGGTTACACTGCTGGACCCTGGGTGCTCAAGCCTTCATTAATGCTGCCTGGGAAGCTAGGTTCTCCACCCTTACCGTGACTTGGGAATGAATTTTTCCTGAAGTGTGTTTCCTTGGGTTGCCCTCTTCCCAGTGAATTCTGTAGCTGCATCAGTTGGCGGTACCTGAGTCACTGCTTGTGCCGTCCCCAAGAAAGGCTGGAAACTGAGTCGTCTTTTGTCTTGAGGCAGGAGTTACATTGTGGGGAGAAATCCCCAAATATAGGAATAGTATTCAAAAGATTCTGGGCAGCCCCAAACCTGACAAATGTCATCTGCAAATTGTGTTATTTCTGCAGAGGACTGTAATGTTGATTGTGCCCAAGGCAGGCTGTGAAGAGCTAATCCCACAGCTGGCTTTTTATAGAAGTGAGTCCAGCCGAAGCCTATGTGCCAAGGTCAGCGAAACTCGCACCCAAATTCTGTTCCCACAACTAAAACCTTCAGACTAGAAGGACAATGTTCTACATTCAACCCTATACTTTGTCAACTCTATTCCTAATTCAAGAATGCTTTGTCTTGTCCTTTATCAGCCTTGTTTATATTAATTTCCATAGAAACCACACGTCGCCTTTACCCCAGTGGATTGCCAGTAAAAGTCAAGTGCCTGGGACTGGCCAGGGCCTTTACTGGCATTGGCCGTCCTGGCCCCACTTTCCCTCTCTTAGTTCTGTCTCTCAGTGTATTTACTTCTCAGGCTTGTGGAGGTGGGGACTGGAACCCGCTGCAGGGTTCTCTGGCAATCTCAGCCTGAAAGATCTGACTATTTCGAGGAGATAGAAGGCCTGGGTGGCCCTGCAGGAGTTTGGTGTAGAGGCTGGAAACCTCCAAGACCAGGCAGGGATTGCATCTGCTTTATTCCCTTTTGCAGAAGAAGCACCCAGCGTGGGACCTGATGTGAAACGGTTGTTCTGAATAGGAACTCAATTAGTGCTTGAACCCTGTTATGTTCATTAATCTTTAGAAATGCCTTTTCAGAACTGCAGTATAACAGGGCACGTCTAGCTTTCATCAAAGGGTAATGTACCTAATATGAACTTTATAAAAGAAAAATGAGGATGATGCATTTTTTTCTTTATTAGTATATGTTTGCAGCACATATTTACATTCATCTTAGAGAGTAGGCACATGTACTTAACATATATTAATTCTTTTTATTCTCCTACCTTCCCTTCCCTCTCTTCCTCCTCCCTCCATCTCTAGATACCTTTCCCATTTGCAAAAGATCTATGAGTAAGTACATTCTCAAGAAAGGGCTTTAATATTCCCACTGTGTCTTGGGTCCGAACTGAACGCTAGCTTTCCATTTAACCAGTTTCCTCCTCCTCTTCTCTGCCCTTCCTTTTCCTCATTGGATGTCAAATGTTAATATAGTACTGCTAAATTATTCCTGAGCCCTCACTGAGCTATAAGGAATTCGTCCTACATTTGTTTGTTCCCAGTTAGACTTGGAATTACCATGAAGACAAGGCCTTAAATTTACCTGGTTCAGGCACTCTGGGAGGCTGAGGCAAGAACAATGCAAATTTAAACCCAGCTTGGGCAATTTAGTGACTTAGTAAGAACTTGTCCCCCAAAAAAGGCCTTTGGCTCTATGGGTGTAGCTCAGTGCTACAGCCCTGGGTTCAATTCCCAGTACCCCAAAACCCAAAAAAACTTCCTCCCCGAATAATTTCCTCAAATTCCCTCCCTACTTAGGTATCACTATGGCTCCTGGAGAAAACAGAAATGAAGAAGGGTATTTTTACTTTAAAAGTTTCTAGGCTCCCTTTCTCCCCCACAGCCCCCTCAGAGGTTTGCCGGTCATTGTCAGTTTGCTGGGAATTCGGTCCTTTGTTCTCAGCTTGGAAGCTCCTGCGGGAGCTTCTCTTGCCTGGAGTTGGTGAATGTCCCAGGGCTGTTACTATCCTCTGCCCCTGTTGCCACCCTGTGGCTCATTTGCCCAAATTTACCGACACTTAGGTTAGTCTGTGCTTTTCTAGGCTGATCATGATTTTGTCTACCAGAGTATATGCAGCACAGTTCTTGTACCTGCCATGTTTCATAAGTTTTCTCTCACACAGTTAGTTAATTGGATTGCCGCCAAAGCTTCCTGTTTCCAGGGAAGAACAAACTCAGCAGTTCTTAGGTAAACTTCAGTCTGCTGCATCCCAACTCTGTCAGACATACTTCAGAGATGCTGGACCCTTAGTTTGAAGCCAGTGTTGAAGCCATTTTTAAGAGTGGACTCAGAGGGAGAGAGATGTAGCCTTATTATCTGAACTGGATTAAAATGTACCAGATTTGAGAAACTTCTGTTATTATTAGGCTTTTCAGTTATGGGAAATAGCAAATCTTCCATTTGTAAAAATGAACCAAGATGTGGTTTTAAGTTTTAATTTACTGCTAAAGGTTTTTCCCTGAAACTATAGCTCTTCTCCAAACCTTTACCAGGAAATTTCTGATTTGTTCCTCATGTTCCCTATATCCATGTTTTGTTGAGTATATATATATTTTTGTAGATAGGCTAGATTAATGAATTAAACTTAATGGGCACTTGAAGTGAAGGGATTTAGTATTTGTTAAAGTTAATCAAATAAATTATACATTCGGATATAGCCCAAATTGCAAAAGATTTAATGGTTTAGTTTTTGTTTTTTATTTTCTTCCATTTCATAATATTGTAATGTTACACATCAAAATAAATCTATCGCCCACAACCTGATTTCTCTCAAATCTCTGTCTGATGCCGAGGACAAGAGTTTTGGCTATGCCAGCCACATTCGCACAGTAGGCTTGGATGGCCTCCTGACTGGTAGGAGCCAACAGAAGGCTGCTTTTAACCCAGGACAGAGTTTGAAGTGATGACTCCCGTGTAAAACTTTTATCTAACACCCTACAAGCTTTATGCACAAGGCCAGCTAGTATAAAAGGGACCCTAAAATGGTGACTTGTTAATCTCATATTTTCTAAACCAGTATTTTGCAACTAGCAAATGTTGATTATTGAAGAGACACTTGAAGGCCTTTATGTGAGTTAAATGTGACTGTCAGCTTGGTTGGCTTGGGAGCCACCTAGAGGATCAGTGAAACACATTTCTGGTGTGGAGGCGTGGCCTCGGGTAGTGTGTCTGGTTCCTGGCCCCTTCCCTTCCTCTCTGGCACTGCTTCCCTGCCCTGCTTCCTGGCCACTGTGAGGTGAACAACCTTCCTCTGTGAAGCCCCTCTGTCATATTTCTGCCTTAGAGCCAGCTGACTATGGAATAAATCCCCTAAAACTATGAGCCAAATCAAACCTCTCCTCCTTTAAGGTGTAGATGTTGGGTATTGTGAGCCAGTGATAAAAGCTGATAATACATACACTGTACTTATTCCTGTTGCTACTGAAAATTTTATGTGACCACCTGGCAATTTGTTTTTCATTGCCTTTCTTTGTTTATCACTATAGAAATAACCATAGTCATTGAATGACAGACACTTTCATGGTCACTTTATCTTAGCAAACTTCCAAGTTTGTCTACATTGTATCATGGAGGATAACAACGATAAAAGAAACATGAGTGTTAGCATAAAAATTTGAAGTAGTTCCTTCTTTCAAGTGATATTTGAGTGTCTACTATGAGTCAGGCCTGTGCCAGAGTTTCTGCTAGAGGCTCAGAGAGGCAGAAATGTCACCAGCCATTCACTGGTTCACAAATAATGCTATTTAAACAGTTAACACACCCAGTATGATATTAGAATTTGGAAAAGTTTTCAATGGAGGTGGGGATTATATGGTAAGTAGGATAAATTTGGGAGACATAAAAGGGAAAAGGGCATTCTGAGTGGATGAGAAAAATAAAGGCTGTGCAAAGGCACAGAGGTGTGAAAGGCCATGGCCAGTGATGCTGTACAGACAGTGAAGCCTAGCTGAGCAGTCATGTGTCCCTTGCTGAGGCCTCTTGACCCTGCTCTGTTGGGGAAGGGTAGGGCCAGGCGTGGATCCGGGAGGTTGACACTGGATTTAGTAGTGGAGTCTGGGACTTGACAGAAGAATCCAGCTGATAAGCTGTATGGACAATGAACTGGAATGCAAAGATTGGAAGCAGAAGAGGTCAATTAGGAGTCTTGCAATAATCCAGGTAAACGATGACAAGGATTTGTACCTAAGACAGTGGAACTGAGAAGCTTCTCAGAAGTAGGACAAATGGGACGTGGTGCCTGATGGGACTTGCGTCCAGGGTGCAGTGCTATGGGAGAAAGGCAGTTCTGGTAGCTAGACGGGTGATGCTACGAAGGACTTCTGGGTAGTTTGAATTTTCATTAGTTAACATTTTTTCCACTCTACTAGCACCTTGTTTGGACAACCAATGAACAATTTTAAAAATACTTTTAAAAAAATGAGTATATTAATTAAATAATCATGAGTATATTAATTAAAAAATCATGAGTAATATTTATGCCTGTTATTGAGACATCATTTATTACCTCATCCTTAACAACAGTGTTCCCATATTTCACTAACATATGTTTTCCTACCACCTGCTTAAATCCTTTACTCTGGTTTAACCCTAAACTGTGAAGTTTAAGGAAAAGGAAAGAGAAGGATGGGGAGGCAAAAACTTCAGAAGGAAGTATGGAGCCCTCACGGTGGCACACACTTGTAACCCCAGCACTCTGGGAGGCTGAGGCAGGAGAATCACAAGTTTGAACTAAGCTTGTGTAACTTAGCAACCTAGTGAGACCTTGTTTCCAAAAAAGGGGGGGTATAGGTCAATGTGAACACTGCCCTGGGTTCAATTCCCAATACCACACACACACGCATGCACGGATGCATACATGCACGTATGGGTAGAGGGAGGAAATGGATGGTTGATGCACAAATCTACCTGTGAAGCTACAAAAAGTTTCGCCTAGGACTGCACCACATTGGTTCTCTGGTGTTCGGCAAGATCAGATTTCTGGTTGAAGCCCTTCCCACTTGGAGACACTGGTAGGGCTTCTCTCCAGGGTGTCTCATGGTGGGAAGGAGCTTGCTGCTCCCTTCAAAGCCATGCCCACAGTGGCCCCAACAGCAGGGCTGCTCTGTATGATGAGTCCTCATGCTGACTGAGAGCAGGCTGTGCCTAAATCACTGCACAAGCTCATGCTTTGATAGCTTCTGGGCCCCATCACTCCAGCCTCCTGTGCTGCTTGCTCAGTGGGTGGTGTGGTGTTTCCTGTCCACCTCTGAGCCTCCCAGACCGGCAATCGGGATCTCCAGGTCTCCCACAGCCATTTCCTTGAGGGTAAGTGCTGCTGGTTGATAGGGAGATTCTTGATTGAACCCCTCAGCCTCTTTCCATGCACAGGTATGGCTTTCTTCTAGTTCAGTCAGGGAGGCACTCTGGGTAAAGTGCTCTGTACCCTCAGAGCAGGCACACGGCTGATCACCTTCTGGGTGCACTGATGTCAGAGGAGCTTGGTCGAGAACCTCTTCCTACGTGCAGAACAGGTAAACTTGCCAGCCATGGATGCTTCTGGTTCTCTGTGGAGAGTGAACTTGCAGCCTGGACCTGCTATGAGTTCTTGAGGTAGAGAGTGGAGGAGGAGGAAGGGCTGATGAATAATGGAGAGGTACAGTGCATTAAAGAGGATGAAGGGCTGAAGTGAAGAATCTGGGGGATAAAGAGTGTGACTGGAGGTGGGAGACTGAGGAGGGCGATGAGGCAGGATAGAAGAAATAAAGATAGATTAAAAAGAGACAAAGAAAATTGGAATTTTAAAATTGTATTTTTAAGAAAAACTGTGGCCTTGGGACACAAGCCCAGTTTAAATATTTTCCTCCACTCCTTCCAAGACAATAACCCTGGGAAATTCCTTTCCACTTGCATTTTTCACCTGTGAATAGACCTTCTCTTCTCACCTATAAACTGTGCTTCTTTTCACAGACGTCCATCCTCAAGAAAACCGTATTAGTGGGCAGCATATTTCACCTTCAAACACATGCACTTTATCACTGCCTGCCAGACGGGTTACCTAGCAGTCGGAACACACATCCGAGACCACTCAATTTAAGACACTCCCAAGACCCTGACAGACATATCGGGCTCCTGATCATAGCGCACCTCTCTCTCTCTCTCTCTTTCTCCCCCCCTCTCGGGCCTGCAGTTTCTTTGAGTGTGTGCTTTGAAGTTTCTGCCTATTAAGTCCCTTTATGCCTATTAATGATGCACCCTGAAAATTCTTTTCCCAATGGGAGTCAATGAACCTCTAACTTAATTCTATGGGAAGGGTGGGGGTTAAGAACCTCCCAGGCCCTGTCTGGTGATAGCGGGAGGCAGAATCAGCATGGCAGCTGAGGGGCAGGATAAAGGAAGGGAGGCTGGAAATGAAAGGAGGACCCAGGGCTTCTGGTGGGCTGGATATAGGGGGGGCCGCTGTGGCCAGAGTCCTGAAGTGACGGATGGGGCTTGTGTCAAGCAATGTGGCAGCTGACCTTGGTGTGGAGGCTGAAGCTCTCCCCGTGTTGCCTGCACCCTTGAGGCTCCTCCCATGTATGCAGGCCAGGGGCTGGGTGAGCAACCTCTTCTGGCTAAAGCTGTATCCACAGTTGTGAGGCACAGAGGTTGGGGTGGGGTAATCCAGTTGAGCCAGTGGGAGTGACTTATCAGTCATAGAAGACCCAGAACACATACGAAGAACAAGAATCCAAGAAGACTGTGCAAGTCCCAAACCCTGTAGGAGGGACCAATCCAAAAGTACTATCTTCAGTTCTTCACTTACACCTGGCGTGAAACTAAGCCGGCCTTTGATAGGACAGTTTAGATCTGACATCATGCCGAGGAATGTGAGATATAAACAGCACCCCCCCCCATTAACCTTGTGGCCACCCTGAACTTTCTCAGGAGCCCACTCTGCAGAGTGTATTTATTTTCCACCCTCCATAAATGTAAATCCTTAATAAATATAAATCCTTTTCCACATGTCCTTGTCCAACTCTGTTCAGGATATGAAGAATCCCTAAAAAAAAATCTTTAGGACACAAAAACTAGTAGCAGTTGGAACAGGAGAAGGGATGCTCACCTGTGTGAACTCTGGTAGCATGCCAGTGTCAACCAGTCTCCAGAGACTCCTTGTACTGGGGACAGACACAGGGCTTCATCCCTGGTGAGCCAGCAGCAGAGCTGACTAAAGCCCTTGCCACGCTCACCACAGATGGAAGGTTTCTCCCCAGAGGATTCACTGGTGCTTAATGGGGTGGGAGCTTTCACAGAAGGTTGTGTCCACACTCAGGACAAGGATAGGGGTCTCTGGCCAGTGTGAAACCTGTGCTGGATGAGGGGTGCACTCTGAGCAAAGTCTTTCCCATAGGCCCCACACGTAGGGCATATCCCATTGGTGACTCTGCTGGTGCTAGAGCAGGTTGGAACTTGGGTGAAACATTTTCCACAGTTAAGACAGGAGTAAGAAATCCCACCGCATGACTTTAACATGACAGGTCAGGGAGTAACTGCCTGAAGCTCCTGTCACAATTAGTGCAGCTTCAGTCTCTCACCAGGCCCAGGTTTCCTGTAGCCAGGGAGTTCACGGTCTCTGAATGGTTCCAGCTCCCAATCCTTGAGAGGTTGTCCTGAGATTTCCCTACTTTATGATTCTGTGTAATGCCATCTGAAAGTGTTTTAAAAAATTCTTTGAGTTTAGAAATAGTTAACACTGTTCCTGGGCATATCCCTTTATTATAGACAGCTAAGTTAGATGGAAATTAACAGGTAATCAGACAGGGATTGGGCCCTTAAGGAAGTCAGTGCAAAAGATAAAAACATCAAAATTGTGGCTGGTGGTAACATCCGAAGAGGGCCAGGCCTTGAGACAGAGATACGAAAGCCAGGCCTGCAAGCCTCCCTAGAGATCAACAGCAACTTGAGATCACACTGTAATCAGCACCACTGGTCCACCGACACCAGGTAGGCAGCAGATGGCCAGGTGGATGACCAGAACGTCTCTTCCCATCGTCTCATCCCTCTCCTAGAATGCTTCTGTTTTCCTGCATGAGAAGTCATACATAAGCTAACGATGCTAGCCATACACCCTTGCTATGTGCACCATTTCCTTATTGGATCAATATTGGCTAAGCGACTATGTTTGTGATCCTATTGGTTGATTATAATTTGACCCACATTGTGATTTTGCTGTACAAAATATTCTTGCATAAAGAATCTCTGTGGTAACCCACTCTCAGGACCCCCCCAGTCTCAGGAATTTTCTCTCAGTAAACCTTCCCTATACTAACCTCTTTTATTCTCAAAATTCATTCTTTGATATTTGGAAGACAAACACTTTAGCACATCTGACATCTGGCAGGATGGGAGTTATTTTTCTCCGTCACATCTTGATGTTCTCTATGATGGAGGACTTCCTCTTGAATAAGTGTTCCCTCGTTGTTCCTGCTTTCTGTGGAAGAAAATGGAAATTTCAGATTCTTGCATCATAAGCCTCTGCAGAGAGGGTGAGAGAGTAAACTACAAAAGGCGGTTTTGCAGAAAAACTACAAAGGAGATTTTGCCCAGCAAGACCCTGTCTCACAATATAAATAATTAAATAGGCTGGAAATTTATTTCATGTTACATCTAAAATAAAAATTTTACAATGAAAAAAATTTAAATCTATTGATTATCATTTTTTTTTTTTTTGGTACCAGGGATCGAACTCGGGTCCTTGCGCTTGCCTGCAAGCGACGGAACCACTGAGCTAAATCCCTGGCCCACTATTTTTTTTTTTGAGACAGGGTCTTGCTTTGTAGTTTAGGCTGGCAATGAACTCACTATGTAGCCCAGGCTGGCCTTGAACTCTCAGCGATCCTCCTGCCTCTGCCTCCCGAGTGCTGCGATCACAAGTGTGAGCCACCATGCCCCGCTTACCATTTTTTTTTTTGGTACCAGGGGTCGAACTCAGGACCTCACACTTGCCAGGCAGGCGCTGTAATGCTGAGCTACATCCACGACCACGATGACCATCTTCTTAATGGTAAGATTTATTTAAAAATATTAACCAAGCTTTTTAATGGCCTTGGACATTTGTCATCTTAACATATTCTGCCAGCTTGAACTACCAGCAGTATATACAGGTCTGTCTCATTGGGTGGCTTGTACCACTGGTGGTACAAACAGATCTAATTACTTTTGTCTTTTTACTAATAAGAAGCTACCCAATGGGACAGTCACACATGTACCATTAATTGTTTAAGCTGCCTGGCAGTGAGACATATGAGTTATAGCCCCATAGTGAATGTGTTACATTTGAAGGAAAGTGTAGTAAGGAAGGATGATTCAAATTAGATGGAGTATCCAAACATAAATCATCAAAAAAGAGTTAACTTCAGAAAAACGTTATTGCTCTGTTGGTTAAGGTGATTAGTAGAAGGGAGCTGCTAAGAGTAAGAAAATAAATAATTTGTCACAAATCATAATGGAAAACCTAACTTTTAAAAGAGTATACATAAGTTTGTAATTTAAAAGCTCAATAACCAAATCATACAAGAGTCTGTAATAGAACTAGTGAATATTCCAGTGGCTTATATGTAAGTGTGCTAGTTTAAATCTATTTTTAGATGTATTAAATCTACCAGTCTGCATTTTCCATTAACTGGAAATGAGGACTTTGGGACAGAGACTGTTGGCCACTCTGAACTCCAAGGCTTAGCCCTTGGTTGTCTCCCTGGACTGCTTCTATTTGTGCTTTACCTCATGGCTCTGTTCATATCTGGCCCATATCTCAGGCCCTGACCTTCCACTTGAGCTCCAAGCTTGCAACTCATGCTGCCACCCAGGTATTTTTCCCCCTAATGCCCTATCATCACTTCAAATTTAATATCCCTATTAGAAAAAACTGACCCCAGTTTCATTTTTATCAGTGGTACCAGTTTTCATTCTTCTTGACATCTAAGGCTGAAACAGTGGAGATTCTTTTGATCCATCCTCCTTCCTTTCCTAGGAGCGATCACCTAGAAGTGATGCACTGTAATCAGTTATCAGGAAAATGCAAATTTCCACAATGGGTACCCCTGTGTATCCAACAGAATGACTAAAATAAAATAGACCAACATTACCAAGTGTGGCTGAGGATGTAGAGCAACTGCAACTCTCATACATTGCTGGGGAAATACAAACTGCTCTGGCCAGTTTGGAAAATTGTTTCACAGTTTGTTAATAGTGAATTAAATGTACATGTACCATGTGATTTAAAAAGTCTAGTCCTAGATATTAACCCAAGAGAAATGGAAATATATGTTCTACAGGACTTAATAAACATGCACAGCAGCTTTATTCATAATAGGCATGTGCTGAAAACAATCTGTCTTAGACACTTTCCTGTCATTGGACACAATACCTGCTACAACTTAAAATGGGAGAGGTAAATTTTGGCTCACGGTTCTTAGAAGATTCAGTCCATAATCAGCTGGCTCTGGTGGAGGACCGCTGCTCACATATGGCAGCCAGGAAGCAGAGAGAAAGGGAGGAGCTGGAGGAAGATACATCCTTCCAGATCATGCTCCCTGAGACCCCCCTCCTCTGTCCAGACCCTGCTTTCCAACAGTGCATTCAGCTCTCAACTCTTCAGCGCATCAACCCACTGATGAATACACCACTCCCATGATCCAATCACCTTCCTAAAGCCCCATCTCTGAACATGTGAGCCTTATAGGGTACATTCTAGATCTAAACCATAACACAATCTAGATGTTCATCAGTGGGTGAAGGGATAAACAAACTGTGAGACACCAATAGAATATCACTCAGCAACAAAAAGGAGCAACTATTGTTACATGCAGCAAATGGATGACTCTCAAAATTATATTAAAGTAGCAAATCCAGGCACAAAAAGAGCACATAAGGTACTATTCCATTAGAATGAAATTCTATAATAGGCAAAACTAATTTATAGGGCCAGAAAGCAGATCAATGGTTATCTAGGCCTGGGTGTGGTACAAAGCAGCTGACTACTAAGTGGCCTTAGACAACTTTGAGAAATAATGGGAATGTTTTGTATCTTGAGTAGGATGGTGATTACAACATTATATGCATTCATCAAAAATTATCAAACTGTGCACTGAAAATGCATGCACTTTATATGTAACATACTTCAAAAGGCTGTTAGTATGGATGTTATACTTTTCTGAGATGTAAAGGGTAGACAGGAGTATTAGTGCTAACTAGTCAAGTATTTTGAAAATATTTTATTAAGTTATAAATGACACAGGAAGTGACCACATCTAGAGAAGATGGTGATTATGGTGTGAGTTTTGCCACTAACAAAACTTTGAATCAGTCATGCCTTGCCTGAGCCTCATTTGGCTCTTGTAAGATTAAGGAGAATCTATATAGCTAATAGAGGAGGGTTGTAGTAGTTCTAAAAAAGCAACAATTCTTACAGAGTTGAAAAAACCCCCTCAGAATTCTTGCTAGAAACTCAGGCACCTGTACATGAGTACAAAACAATCCCAGAAACACCATTCCTCAAAGCAAAGAATTGAAAACAACCTAAATCTTCATCAACTGTCAAATGGATATATAGAATAAATGGTATTTCTAAAGAAACAAGACAATACATACAGTCTAGTTTTATTTCTGTAAGGTCCAAAACTCACAATATGTTGTTTAGAAATCCACATACAAATGAAAAACTATAAAGACAAGTGTGATGGTTAATCTTAATTGTTGCTGGGCATGGTGGTACACACCTGCAAACCCAGTACTTGGTAGGATGAGGCAGGAGGATCACCGGCAGTTCAAGGCCATTCTGGACAACACAGTGAGATCCTATCTCAAAAAACAAAACAAAAAAACAAATCTTGATTGTCAACTTGACTTGAGATCCACTTAGGGGACTAGTAAGGCACACTTTTGGGTGTGTCTGAGTGGGTCATGGGGCAGTGGGTCATGGCCTTCGGGACTATATCTGGTTGCTGGCCCCTTCTTCTGGCTCTTTCTGCTCCTGGCTATTATAAGGTGAGTAGCTCTCCTCTGCCATGTCCCTCCAACATGATGTTTCTCCATGAGCTAAAATAAATCCTTCCTCCTTTGTGTACGTCATGTATTTTATTCTATCACCAGTTAGCATAGGCCCTTGTGCTAAGAGATCATAGAAATTAAAACTAAGGCGGGCCAGTGATTTAGCTCAGTGGTTCAGCCACCTGTCTCGTAAGCACAAGGACCTAAGTTCAAACCCTGGTACCAAAA